GGGGCGGAGACTTTGGGGAGGGGGCGGAGTTGGGGCGTGGGCGGGGCTGGGCCGGGGCCCCGTGGAGTGTCCTCCATTTGGAGGCACAAAATATGGTAAACCTAATTAAAAGCAATGAGTAAAGTGAAACAGTTACTGGATAATGCCTTTTTAGAGCTTCCCCAGTATAGACGAGAATGCTTTTTTTTTTTAAATTAATTTTAGCCAAAAGGATTTATAAAAAAATACCCTTTAATACAATGCTTGTCAATTTAGAAAATGCATGCTACAGGTATACAGTTCTTTCAATACGTACTCTGTACATTCCAATGCCTCGGCCTCCATTGTGCAACCAATACAAATAAAGTGGTTTTCCAAAAAGCATTACAGGAACAGAAAGCAAAGCAACAATAAATAAAAATCTCTGTAAAATAACCTGTTTGTGGGAGGGGAAAAAAATAAAAGGTGTTTAAAGATGAGTTCAGACAACCTCCCTCCAAGTACTTAAATCAATTTTTTATTAATGAGGAAGAAGCAACTGATTTCCTTTAAGGCCCTGATTCAGCATTTGAGAAGTCACACTTGATTTCAGTGGATCTTAAAGATATGCTTAAAGTTAAGCATGCACATAGGTATTTTGCTGATTCAGGGCCTTAAATAGCAGTTGTGGGTGCTCATCTTCTGGATTGGCCCCAAAAGGCAGGCAAGCTTGCCAATTTCCAAGCTTAAAAAAATTCTTTTGTTACACAAAATAGCATTAAAAACTAAAAGAGAAGAGATAGTCTGTGCTCTGTTCTGCATCCCTTTTATTAAAGAGAATCAAAGCTAGCCCGAGCAAGGAGTACAGGATTTTGTTCTAGAAATAGCAAGTGTGTTGGGGTTTTTTAAATCTACACACAAGCTTAGATGAAGTTTAAGAGCAAAATGCTCAGTCAGTCATAATGGATGTGCTTTTTATTTATCTATCTTTTAAAATAATCCTGATACAACCTCTTTACTGTCCCCACACTAGAGGCAGACATTAGCTTAATTTAACATTCAGATAATACTTTGTGTTCAATCACACTATTAAAGAACATATGATCTTCTGAATTCTATTAACCTCCTTTCAGTTTATAAGAGTAGTACTAACCTGTCCTGTATAAAAGGTGTCCATTCCACTAGTGGGAAATAGAAACATGTTAATAAATTGAATCAGAATGCTGGGAGCAGATCTGGAGTTTTCTGCAGAATAAGCTAGCCATTTAAAGATGATCATAAATACAAGATACCCAAAGATGCACAGCATGAATAAAAGTTCAGGAAGGAAAACCAAATAAATATTGTGCCTCTTCCTGAAATATCTAAAAAAATAAAAAAGAAAAAGAATTAATGATGAACAACTTTTACATAGAAAGATCACATAGTGTCCAATTCTATAAGGTGCTGAGAGCCCTCAAGCCCTGTGGCATCAATGGAAGTTGAGTGTGTTCAGAAATAGAAACTGTATTAGAAATTATGAGCCAAATCCTGATTCTTTGAACTCAAAAGAAATGTTACCAGGGATGTCAATGGTCTCAGGGCCTTAATAGAGGAAGCGAAAGTCTTTTCAATTAAAAGAAAACAAAAATTATTGCAAACAGGGGCCTGAATCCTGCATACACTTATGCAAATACTTAACTTTAAAGAACTGAATCATCCCATTGATTTCAATGAGACTACTCATGCCTTTAGTTCAGCATATGCATATTTGTAGGATTGGGACCCGAGTAACAAAAAGAACATTAATGTTTCAGATAAAACCAAGGCATTAACAATGTTACACAGAAGAGGTTAGGAGGGGCCCAAAAGCAGCAGCTCCAAACCCATCCTTCTCTAGAAGCACAACACAAAATCTCACTTCTCAGAGGCTGCAGATTTTTCTGTATAACACTGGCCTTCCTATATTTTTCCAAGGAAATCAGGATCTCAAGCAAAAACTGACTTGCCTTTTGTAAAGCAATTTTCACAGTGAATTCACATTGCCTTTGCTCAGTTCTCAAAAACATTCCAGTTCCTTCCAATCTCAGATAATAAATACTGATCAGAAAATGTCACATTTATTTGCTTGCATGTGTTTATTGCCACATTCAACTTTAACTTCCCATACTTACAAGTGGTTAAAGACCCCCAGAATAACTCCAAAAGTCATGTGAGTCACTCCAAAAATCACAGACATTTTCATTTTGAAAGAATTTAAAAAACTGAGACGGTTGCTTGCCAGGTTCCAGATCTGAAGGGAAAATAAAAAATAAAAGAGAAATCAATAAGATGAAATAGACTTTCCTAAAATGCCTAGTTCGGGGTGTAACACAATCTCTCCTCGGGAAACCTGTGATATGTCTACACTACAATTAAAAACCTGCAGCTAACTCATGTCAGCTGACTCAGGCTAAGGGGTTATTTAATTGTGGTGTAGACGTTTGGGCTTGTCTATACCTTAATTCAACAGCCCCGCAAGCCCAAGCCCGAGTCAGCTGACACAGGCCATCCAAGGGTATTTAACTGCAGTGTAGACATACCCCTGAATTCTAATTCCAGCTAAGATCCCAAGCAAAAATGAGTTTGAAGAAACTAGTTACATCTCTTTCTGAATCACTAGAAGAGGATATCATCCTCATGGGAGAAAGGTGGAAATGGAAATCTGCATTTACTCATAATATGTACCCTTAGTTATGCCTATATACTAAGCAGTTGTCACACTTAACTTATGAGCTGTAAAGCACTGATCATCACAAATGGGTAAATTTAAAGAAAAAGCACCAACCGGATCTATGCCAAAAGGATAAACTCCATTGAACACTCCAGTAACATTTGGATCCAATGTCAAATATCGATTAGACTTCAAATCATCAAGACTGTGGCAAAAGAAACACACAATCAGATCCTGTTGCTTAAAAATAGTAAGCATGTATTGCTTTCACCTCTGCAGAATGTCCTTCCTACTTTCTTGTTTAGCAGAGAGAGAGAAAATAAATGGCTGATCTGAAGGTTGAGGGACGCATAAAGGGATTTCTCAGCACAATAATAGTAAGATAAACAGTCAACATATTAAACTATTCCCAGGTGAATTAAGTACTGATTATAGTTACCAGAATGGCAACCCCTGAAAATGCTTTTCTATTTATCCACAGAACAGATGCAGTATGTGCAGTGTCAGCATAATCTCCCTCATACAATGTAGGTCAGCTCTGACCAGAAAGGACACCACTATAGGTGAGACACGTAGTTCAATAGCCATTCAGTTCTTGGCCTCTGTTGAAACTATCAACAAAGAAGCTGGTTGTGGTGGTGTTTTTTTAATATGGCTAAATGTGCCCAAGAAATTTGGCTGAAGCTACCAATTTATTTCACATAATCCTCCAAACAAATATCACATAGCAACAACTTATGATCACTCTCAACCTGAGTGGACTCATACTGCTGATCTAGATAGGAAAGATTCCAGATTTAATTTCCCATCCCATAGCCATCCGAAGAGGAGAAGACCACAATGACTGTGGCCATGTTAGCCTAACCAGTCTCCTAGCACTGAAAGACCCTGCTAGCATAAGGTACTTGACAACTCTGTCATTACCTGGCATCTTAACTGCAGTGACAGTTCTAATACCACGTGAGTTTGAAGCCTACAAGAGCTGAAGCATTCAAACTCTATTTTATCTTAAGCATTTCACTTTCCCCCTTTTCCTTTTTATTTTTGACAAGGAGACGTCCCGGTTTTTTTTTCTATTTTAAGTGTGTGAATGTGTGCTGAGTGCATTTATGAATATTAGTACTTTCTGAATATTTATTAGCATTTTATTAATATTAACCACATGGCAAGGTGCTAAAGAATAACCAGCAGACTGAAGTTACCCTAGAAATTCTGCTTTGTAAAAAAATCAGAGCCTGCGTGCGTTCTTTATTTTGGTAACAGCATTTACAAACTACCATCTATAATTCTTGCTTATCAGAAGTTGCTAACTATTGCATATTAGAAGAGCGATGTTAAAGTTTGTGTTCAGAAAGGAAACAGAGCAACCACTGTTGAAATCTAAAGAGGAAATTCCAATTTACTCTGACGACATAGCTTAAAAGTAATAGTAATTTGGCTTTGATAATCAAAATATTCAACTTGCTAAACTGACTGCACTACCATGGGCAAAATCTAAATTGGGGTTTATAAGGGCTTGTCTACATTACCCGCTGGATTGTTGGGCAGTGATTGATCCAGAGGAGGTTGATTTATCGTGTCTAGTCTAGATGTGATAAATCAATCGCCGAGCGCTCTCCCGTCGACTCTGGTACCCCACCAGGGCAAGAGGCGCAGATGGAGTCGACGGTAGAGCGTCAGCCGTCGACTTACCGCAGTGAAGACACCGTGGTAAGTAGATGTAAGTACGTCGACTTCAGCTACATTATTCACGTAGCTGCGGTTGCGTAACTTAGATCAATTTCCCCTCTCCCCCCCCCAGCAGTGTAGAGAAGGCCTCAGAAAACAATTTCTTATTTTAGGGACTATAATTGATTTTACTAGCTGATGGATTAGTTTTAATCCACGGTTATTGTCATTTTTTTTCTTTGACCCTATTTTGATCTTAGGTAAAACAATACAATAATCAAGTTTAGTTTAGTAGTGTGTGTAATAGTGTAACCTTAGTTACATTTTTGTTGGTTTTAATTTTGTTTGCTTATTTGCTTTTAATAAAATTTTATAAAAAGTATACAGAGTCATATTTTTTTCAATAAACAACCGGGCCAGAACCACTAAAAATCCTAGTAGATCATCTGACCCAAAAGGAGTGTAATCAGCTCCCCACTAAATTACTCTTTGGTTCTTACTGCTGTTTTGTTACTCTGGGATTACTCATAAATGTTGGGCTGCTATCATTGGTACAGATGCATGTATTTTTAAGACAATAAGCATTGATGTATTTCTTCTGAAGTGAAAGAGACCAGTCTCCCAGCAGTTACATACATTTTGCAAACAAAGAAAGAGGTGGGATTGGTCAAGAAACATTTTCCAGGAGGGTCATCAACTTGAATGCAGTATAAAATACTGAAATGATCCCAAATGACTAGAATTATTGTTTATACTGCACCATAATTGCATAAAGCGAAAAAGAGTTCTGTGGCACCTTATAGACTATAAAGTGCCACAGGACTCTGTCGCTTTTTACAGATCCAGTCCAACACGGCTACCCCTCTGATACTTGACATAATTGCACATTGTGCTTTACAGACAAAATAATGTGTCTCTGCCCCCAAATAATTTCTCAAGTACTACTGTTCAAAATAAGGGCATTTTACTCCTTTGGGAAGGATTTGGAACCTCTTAATGATAACATTTTATGAAGGAATTAAATCAGTCTATTTAAGAAGGCAAAACAGAAGGGAATTATACAATGTTTAGAAAAGACTCTATTTGTTTTAATGGTATAGTAAACAAAGCGTACCACTCACCGCCAGATCTTTTTTTCAAACATTGCAGAAATTTTCCATCCAGAACCAAATATATTTAATGACTTTGAAAAACAGTCATTATAGATCAAGCCAGTGTATACAGAAAACAGACCCATCAACAAAATTATGTATCTCCCTTCAAAGAATGTTTTCATGATCTGTAAATATTGGAGTACAGCACTGTTAGCGAGAGCTATGTGAACTTTCATTATCTGCACATTTCCAAGAGGAGCACATGACCACATTAAAGTTATTATAAGTTAAAAATCCATATGAACAATTATTACAGGATATAAAGAAAACTAAGACAAAACCAGGGGGAAAATATCAGACAATCTGGATTGAAGACATCGTTTAATAAATTAGTGCCTCTCTTTAAAGACACCCAATTTGTATCTCACCTTTCATACCTTTAATATCGCATGATAGATTTGCAAGAGTTCGGTCACTATCACTACAACAACAACAAATGTAGTCTGAAAGTCACATTTTTGCTTTAAACTAAATCTGTATATTTGAGGAACCTATATAGACTCATACATAGACTCACAGAATACAAACCTAGACCTTCTTTCTATCCTGGAGTCATTATACCACCAAATACTCTACTAAGAGCTTAGTTTATTGCTATGACCATTTTTCAGAATGCTAATGTGTTCATTTTTTGTAGTTGTCATTCATTTAATATCACCTTAAAAGGGTCTTGCAGGCCATATCAAGTCCATGCCTTACCCTGGACTAAGTTTGTCTCTGACAAGGCATGCACTCTCCATACACAAAAAAAGTGAGTCAACACTATACATGCAAATTGGCTTCATATTTTTGAGGACAATCTTTTTTTTTAAATTAATTAGATTTCAAGTTGATGATCTCTTTAAAACTATCCTGCAGCAAGTTTCATTTATGAGTAATGAAAATTTACAAAAACAATGGAAGAAATTAGCATTTAAAGTTTTCATTCTGCCCTCAAGTCAGCCCATTGTGACTAGGTGCTCCAGCACACATTGAGCAAAAATCAATGCAACAGTGATTGCAATGCCACTAAAGACAATGAACTTTTGCACAAATATAGCAGAGCAGAATTTGACCCATAATATGATATTTAAAATTTCACAACATTCTACTATGACTGAGTGAGTTAGGGATGCAGCAGCAGTCTTTAATTCACAATTTGATTGGCTCAGCTCTTGTCATAAGAACGGCCATACTGGGTGAGACCAATGGTCCATTGAGCCAAGTATCCTCTCTTCCGACAGTGGCCAATGCCAGGTGCTTCAGAGGGAACAAACAGAACAGGCTATCATCGAGTGATCCATCCCATCATCCACTCCCAGCTTCTGGCAAACAGAGGCTAGAGACAGAGGATGGTGTTGCATGCCTAACCATCCTGGCTAATAGCCATTGATGGAACTATCCTCCATGAACTTATCTAGTCCTTTTTTGAACTCTGTCATAGTTTTGGCCTTCATATAGCCCAGCAACAAATTCCACAGGTTGGCTGTGCGTTGTGTGAAGCAGTACTTCCTTTTGTTTGTTTTAAACCTGCCTGCTACTGGTTTCATTAGGTATCCTCTAGTTCTTGTGTTATGTGAAGGAGTCCATAATATTGCCTTATTCACTTTCTTCACATCAGTCAAGATTTTATAGACCTCTATCATATCTCCTCTTAGTTGTCTCTTTTCCAAGCTGAAAAGTCACAGTCTTTAATCTCGCCTCATACAGAAGCTGTTCCATACCTCTAATCTTTTTTGTTGCCCTTCTCTGTATCTTTTCCAATTCTAATATATCTTTTTTGAAATGGGGGAAACCAGATCTGGACACCCTGTTCAAGATGTGGGCCTACCATGGATTTATATAGGGGCCTTATATTTTCTGTCTCATCTATTCCTCTCCTAATGGCTCCTAACACGGTTAGCTTTTTTGACTGCCGCTGCACATTCAGCGGATGTTTTCAGAGAACTATCCACAGTGACTCCAAGATCTCATTTTTGAGTAGTAACCGCTAATTTAGTCCCCATCATTTTGTACACATAGTTGAGACTATGTTTTCCAGTGTGCATTACTTTGCATTTATCAACACTGAATTTCATCTGCCATTTTGTTGCTCAGTCACACAGTTTTGTGAGATCCCTTTGTATCTCTTCGCAGTCTGCTTTAGACTTGACTATCTTGATTAATTTTGTACTGTCTGTACATTTTGCCACCAGTTTACCCCTTTTTCCAGATCATTTATGAATAAGTTGAACAGCACTGGTCCCAGTACAGACCCCTGGGAGACACCACTATTTACCTCTCCATTCTGAAAACTGGCCATTTATTTCTACCCTGTCAATTAAAATGTGTTTATTATTTATTTATATTCCATTTAAATAATTATATTTTGAAAAGATATCATATGCCTCTAGAAGGGGATTATCACAACATGCAAACTAGGAAATCCCGAGACTAATGATCAC